TATCACTATACATCACACTTGTGTAGCCTAGTCTAACACAACACTATACATCACACTTGTGTAGCCTAGTCTAACACAACACTATACATCACACTTGTGTAGCCTAGTCTAACACAACACTATACATCACACTTGTGTAGCCTAGTCTAACACGTCACTATACATCACACTTGTGTAGCCTAGTCTAACACATCACTATACATCACACTTGTATAGCCTAGTCTAACACATCACTATACATCACACTTGTGTAGCCTAGTCTAACACATCACTATACATCACACTTGTGTAGCCTAGTCTAACACAACACTATACATCACACTTGTGTAGCCTAGTCTAACACATCACTATACATCACACTTGTGTAGCCTAGTCTAACACATCACTATACATCACACTTGTGTAGCCTAGTCTAACACAACACTATACATCACACTTGTGTAGCCTAGTCTAACACAACACACAATACATCACACTTGTGTAGCCTAGTCTAACACATCACTATACATCACACTTGTGTAGCCTAGTCTAACACATCACTATACATCACACTTGTGTAGCCTAGTCTAACACATCACTATACATCACACTTGTATAGCCTAGTCTAACACATCACTATACATCACACTTGTATAGCCTAGTCTAACACATCACTATACATCACACTTGTATAGCCTAGTCTAACACGTCACTATACATCACACTTGTATAGCCTAGTCTAACACATCACTATACATCACACTTGTGTAGCCTAGTCTAACACATCACTATACATCACACTTGTGTAACCTAGTCTAACACATCACTATACATCACACTTGTGTAGCCTAGTCTAACACATCACTATACATCACACTTGTGTAGCCTAGTCTAACACATCACTATACATCACACTTGTATAGCCTAGTCTAACACGTCACTATACATCACACTTGTATAGCCTAGTCTAACACATCACTATACATCACACTTGTGTAGCCTAGTCTAACACATCACTATACATCACACTTGTGTAACCTAGTCTAACACATCACTATACATCACACTTGTGTAGCCTAGTCTAACACATCACTATACATCACACTTGTGTAGCCTAGTCTAACACATCACTATACATCACACTTGTGTAACCTAGTCTAACACATCACTATACATCACACTTGTGTAGCCTAGTCTAACACATCACTATACATCACACTTGTGTAGCATAGTCTAACATATCACTATACATCACACTTGTGTAGCCTAGTCTAACACATCACTATACATCACACTTGTGTAGCCTAGTCTAACAGATCACTATACATCACACTTGTGTAGCCTAGTCTAACACATCACTATACATCACACTTGTGTAGCCTAGTCTAACATATCACTATACATCACACTTGTGTAGACTAGTCTAACACATCACTATACATCACACTTGTGTAGCTTAGTCTAACACATCACTATACATCACACTTGTGTAGCCTTGTCTAACACATCACTATACATCACACTTGTGTAGCCTAGTCTAACACATCACTATACATCACACTTGTGTAGCCTTGTCTAACACATCACTATACATCACACTTGTGTAGCCTAGTCTAACATATCACTATACATCACACTTGTGTAGCCTAGTCTAACACATCACTATATGGCACACTTCACTGCTTTGGTTCAGTAGGTGAGATCTTGTTGCATGCAATTGTTTAGACCCCACAGTTATCTCCACATGTTTCTTCTTATTTACTTTAATGCCCAAGTACGGCTTTGAGGGTGAACTAGTCTCATAAAATGGGTACAGCAGAGACAGAAAGCTGACCATATGATCATCTGTATGCCGTTTGGCAAGATGCTGTCTACATACAGTAGAAAGATCCCAGGTCTAGCCAGTTGGCATTCTGGCGGAGGCCAGGCTGTGCGAATAACTGAAGAATATATGTCTCACCTGAGCCTTCATTGAGGTCTGTTCTCACCTGAGCCTTCATAGAGGTCTGTGACTTCTAATCTGAGCCTTCATAAAGGTCTGTGACATCTCACCTGAGCCTTCATAGAGGTCTGTTACTTCTCACCTGAGCCTTCATAGAGGTCTGTGACATCTCACCTGAGCCTTTATAGAGGTCTGTGACATCTCACCTGAGCCTTCATAGAGGTCTGTGACTTCTCACCTGAGCCTTCATAGAGGTCTGTTTCTCACCTGAGCCTTCATAGAGGTCTGTGACATCTCACCTGAGCCTTCATAGAGATCTGTGACTTCTCATCTGAGCCTTCATAGAGGTCTGTGACTTCTCATCTGAGCCTTCATAGAGGTCTGAGACTTCTCATCTGAGCCTTTATAGAGTTATATGACTTCTCACCTGAGCTTTCAGAGGTCTGTGACTGCTCATCTAAGCCTTCATAGAGGTCTGTGACTTCTCACCTGAGCTTTCAGAGGTCTGTGACTGCTCATCTAAACCTTCATAGAGGTCTGTGACTTCTCACCTGAGCTTTTATAGAGGTATGTGACTTCACCCTAAGCTTTCAGAGGTCTGACTTCTCACCTAAGCCTTCATAGATTTCTGTGACTTCTCACCTGAGCTTTCATAGAGGTCTGTGACTCCTCACCTGAGCTTTCATAGAGGTCTGTGATATCTCACCTGAGCTTTCAGAGGTCTGTGACTTCTCCCCTGAGCTTTCATAGAGGTCTGTGACTTCTCACCTGAGCTTTCAGAGGTCTGTGACTTCTCTCCTGAAAACCACTGACAGGCAGAGTGAAAAAAAGAAAAGAATAAAATAAGATGTGACATTCAGTCACTAACCGTATAACCATTTTTGTGCCATTCTATGGCCAACAAATTTGAACTAAAGTCATACCATCAACTTTTTAGCCATGCTTAGTTTATTTTGCTTTTTCATGTCCTGTCCTTTCTGTTAAACAAGATACTTACTATTTGCAGGCTCCTGTACAAATCCATAGATTCCCACAGTGAGGGCATGGGGCCTATTCAGGACAACCAACCTGCAGTTGCCATCTTCTACTTCATCTTCATTATTGTTATAGCATTCTTCATGATGAACATCTTTGTTGGTTTTGTGATCGTCACCTTCCAGAACGAGGGAGAACAGGAATACAAAAATTGTGAGCTGGATAAAAACCAGGTCAGTTACAGATGTATCTGCTGTCTTCTTCTTCTTTTGATATCTCATAGATACCCAGTTGAAGCCCAATGTCGTGGTTCTCTGTATTTGTCTTGTGTTTCTCATATGGTTTTGGTGATGAATTTGTTCTCCTTTTTTGCAGCATTCAGCTACATCATTTATCCAACTCTTTCTTGATCTTCTCCTTGCCCTCCTACCAGATGTTCTGCTGTAACAAATTTCATATGCAGTTTGGTCTGGCTGCATTCTCACTAAATGGTTGAACCATTTCATTCCTTGTCTATCAATATAATTCAGACAGTCTTATCCCAAATTTCTCTCTAATGCTGGTATTCATAACCCTGTCTCTTCTGCTATTATTCCTTTGCTGTTTTGCTGGAAAGAAAACATTTGGGTGTCTAAGCAGTGGGGTTAACTGGTAGCTGACAGCATTTGCCTTCTGTACTCTGGCTTCTGTCTCTCTTTTGAGCCTGCTATCTTCTGTAAATTTGCTTCCAACGTGTTATTGCATTTTTGCCATTAACGTGTTATTATTTTTCATGCCTATTTATTTTTTAATATCATACTTTGTGCAAGTCTGCTGTAAATATGGAAAAACAAGTTTACAATAATTGGTTGGTGTTTCTAAAACTAGAGGCAAGAAATAGAGATTAGAAAGTTGTTTATTTGGTTGTGCTTTGGAGTATACTTATTTGTCTTCTTCTTCTTGTTCTTTAGCATTCTCATTCCTGGAGGCTCATTGCCACAGACTTCATCTGCCTCCATTCATCTTCGTGATTAGCTTTCTCTTTCCAGTTGGTGACTGCAAGTGTTTATAGTTTTGCCTTGATATTATCTCTCCATCATCTTCTTGATCTGCCTCATGGTCTACTCACTTCCATCCAGTGCTTTTGTCCTTTTGTCACTCTCTCTCTGTACTTCAACAATGGCTTTTTTATAGAAAAGTAAAGTGCTGGTACTCCCACAAAATGTAAAATAGAGGTGCCAGTACTCACCACAAAGTGTCTGTGGCAGTAACACTGAAAAATATTCCTTAAAAACGTGTAGGGACTGCGTACTGATGTATGATCCAGAGGGTTCAGGCAGGTTCGCTATGAAGACAATGGCTTGAATCATTAGAGAAGTCCACTGTGCATGGATCGCCTTTTTTTGTTCCGGGAATACGCAGGTGTCGATGGAAATGAAAGAGACGATAGGTTGGCTGGATCCGCTATCACTACCAAAGTCAGCCTATGGATCATGCTGATATTATTAATGCCCTCAGAGAAATGGAAAGGATAGAGGACTTTGTGGATAGTGAATCCACATCACTCCCCAGAATGGCAGACTTGGAAATTAGGATCGGCATAGCTAAAAACGAGACGCGCACCAGATTACTTGTTAATCAACATAGAACTGGTACTATTAGCCATCGGACGTTGTGGTTCATACTGAGGGGAGGATCTGAGCACTAACTAACTAACTAACTGATGTGTATCACCAGAAAAAAAGTCTAGCCACACCCGTTGCAGTCTGTTAGCCCTCATGGTACCAGTCATGAAGGGTGATTTAAATAGATTATTTGTTAGATGTATTTGTTTCACCTATTTGTACTGACACATATTTATTTATTGTTTAACTCTGCCAGATTTGTTTCAAATAGTTCCATCCTGCAGGGCAGCAGGTGAAAGGGTTGTCGCAGATCTTACCCATTGCTAGTTATGTCTTAGAGATTTCAAGTATTTTATGATGCTAGCAGCCCCAGCAGGTAAAAGGGATGTCACAGATCTTACCCACCCACTGATAGTTATATCTCGGAGATTTCAAGTATTTTATAAAGCTAGTAGCCCCACACAATTATAAACTTAATTGATCACCATCACTGTTGGGGGCCCGGTTACTTTCTAAAACAATAGGCTACTGCTTTGAGTTAGCATCTGTCTGTCTGTCTGTCTGTCTAGATGATATTGTTATTTAGAGTCATTGCATAGGAATCACAAGAAGTTGGCAGCTGGCCTGGGATGGAAGCTCTGACAGACAGACAGACAGACAGACAGACAAAGCACTGATCTTCTATCTGACAGTTTCTGCTACATGATATGTGGTAAATATATTGGTGTTACCTTTCCTGTGAAGTAAACAAGGTCAAGATAAGACCATGATATACACAGGCAAACTTTTATTTCTACAGTACCGCCTGAGCTGTGAAAAATGCAGAGGAAGCATCGCCATGTGCGGTGACTCCCATGCCTCCTTCTAGCATATAGAAGATATCATACCATTGTGGAAAGACAGAAAGCTGCCAGAGAATACTAAGAAGGTGTTATGTTTCTTAATAATTGTTTAAAAAATAATCATTTCTACAATTTCCAGCGCAAATGTATTGAGTTTGCTTTGAAAGTCAAGCCTATCCGCCGTTACATTCCAAAGGCTAGATGGCAATACAAAATCTGGTGGTTTGTAACATCTCAAGCATTTGAATATGGGATATTTGTACTGATCATGATCAACACTGTGGCTCTTGCAATGAAGGTAAGGCATCTTTAAACCACTGTTGTGGTCAGTTATGTTGAGGTGTGTTAAGTTGTGTTCAGTTACGTTGAGTTGTGTTGAGTTGAATTAGGGATGCATAGGTGCTCAACTACATGTGAGGGCGCACCAGAACACGGGATGAAATTGATCAAGACCTGCCTACATTTTTTTATGGTCATTCCAAAACAAAAGGATCCCAACAAGAGACCTGACCAGTGTAGACATGATCAATATTTCTTTCAAAGTCCTGTGCATCTGCCTTAGAGGTGAGGAACCAACAATCTGCATAAAATAAGCCAGATTTGTATGCATATGCAAAACTCAAGTCCCAAGACAAGACCAAAGTCCAGATGTAGACGAACAACCACCAGACTTTCCACTACTTTAAAGCCATTGAATTAAACAGAAAAAGAAAACAGAAGAACAAAAGAAACAGAAACATTTGAGTTCAGTTAAGAACTAACATCACAGCACATGGGAAATTCCCACAAGTAAATGCCCATCTCCATCAGCCAGTGAAGAGTTCCGATACTAATAGTATTATTAGCAGTTTGATTATATCTACGCCTTGTATGTCCTCTGAATGTAGAGTGTCAGCCATATTCTGCTGGTGACTATCTGCTGCATCATTCTCTCCACACCATAGTGATTTGCTTGTACTCCAGAAATGTCACTTTCTCGCACAGATATCTAGCTTGTCATGCATCTGTTCACCAGCCAGTGGTAAAGTACCAGCTAGTCTGTCTGCCTGTTTGTTTTCCAGTACACCATGAAACATAGAAAATGCCCAAAGGATGCCAGCTACTGGATATAGTTAAAGGTTTCCGGAACGAATACCGCACATAAGTATTAGGATTGTATCTGAATGTCTGTAATAATTAATAATCTGAATGGCAGATGACAGAGAAGTAAAAACTGTATACACCGGGGAGTTTTATATTCGTAGACCAAGAGACAGACCAAGAAGACGAAAGAGATATAATATCCAGACAGACCTGCAAACACTAGGTGTCACCAACTAGAAAGAGAGGACCAGCCAGAGAGATAAATGCAGGCAGGTGATATCTGCAGCAGTGAACCTCAAGGGCTCAGAATGCTGAAGAAGAAGAAGAATGTCTATGACAGTTACTTCTGTTGACCCTAGGTGTATGATGTCTTTCTTATGGTTGTTGTGTTTATCTTTGCTACACTGCTGATGTACTTTCCATACATTTTTTAATGACATTAGTGTGACCAGTGTTCATTAAAGACCAATAAATAAGAGGGTTTGGTTATCAGATGAGAATTCCTGGTACCAACTGCCACAGAGAGCCATGGTGCAGAAATAAGGTGTACACAGAGTGACAGAATGACCATGCAAATACTGAACGATGGCATTAAGAATATTCTTAGAGAAATGTAGGTCAACTAAAGCAAGACAATAGGAAAAGCCCACAAAAGATCTTTACCCCCTCCCCCCAAAGCCCCCTTTCCTCCGCGCAACCCCCTAACACTTCATTGAGGTAACTGAAAGAAGAGGCGAAGAACAACATATTTAATGTTATCATGTCATCTATACAAAACAGACAACTAAATTAGATAATTAGTTACTTAATCGACAGAATATCCTTATTGCTCATTAGACAAGTCCATGGTTTACTATTCTTCTATGGCTACCTGAACAGTGTTCCTGTTTGGCAACAGATCTTTTGACTTAAAGTTCTTGTAGTCTTTTGAGTGTTGCAGATTCAACGTCATCTCTTGAATCATCTTATCATCCTGTCTCCTTGGGAACATTGAAAATGTCAGCCGGGTTCATTGCTTTTCCTGTACTACTGTGAGCCAATCTGCTCGTTCATTCCCTCTTATCCCAGAGGGTCGCAGCACAAAAATGAAACTGATTCCTTTCAGATGAGATTTCCCCATTGACTCCAATGATTTTATCAAATCCATCCTGTCTCTATCATCTTAAGCATGCTCAAGGAATCACTTAAAAAGCACATATGGGAAAAAACCTGTGTCTCTAGCCATATCATTTCTTTTGTTACCACCATCACCTCCATATTCAGACTACTTGTAGTCAAGGCAAAAGCCCTGCTATCATTTTTATAGTTTTCCCTCGAATGAGAACCATGAAAGCCCATGAACTTTTTTCATGCTGAACAATGGATCCAAAAGTGTAGATAACTGCACCTCCGTCAGCTGATTTTTCAAGAATTAAAGATTGAACTTCTGCCTCAGCCACCAGAGGGCCTTGTTGTCTGCAACCTCTATCTATTGTCTGCATTCTCTATCCTGTTGTCTGCATTCTCTATCCTGTTTTGTGCAGACTGAAAAGGATGTGACCAGTGACCACTCTGCAGGCACTTGTACCAATACTTCACCAGGTTTTATGTCCTGAGTTTAAAATAATACTTATTGAATAATGTCCTCAGCCTGACCTAGTCAGGAATTTCCTATTTTTGACCTGCTACCTTCTTCCTGGGAATCTCACTGTGCAATGTATGGTTTGTATTGGCACTGATATGCAGATCTGCATGTGCTTGGCTGATCACTGTTCTTAATTCCATGGTAGCAAGATCAGTATCTTAGCTAGCATTTTTTAAGACAGCTAAGTTATTGGATGTTGTTTGCATGTTAAATAACTGGTTTCATTTGACTGAGACATACATATGATCTGTCTGCAGTACCAGGGACAGTCTGCAGAGTATGGGAAAGCCTTGGACTACCTCAACATCATCTTCACTGGTGTATTTGCATCAGAGTTTGTTCTGAAACTTGCAGCCTTCAGGTTTAAAGTAAGTAATTTCACAAATGTTTGTCTAACATTTAGCAGCCTTCAGGTTTAACTCTTTCAGGCCCATGAATTTTGACAGACTTGGCCCACATTAATTTCCCTTTACAAAAATGGCAGAGGGGTGGGTGTACAAGAAAGGCTGTAGAGATTGTAATATACTTCTTATCCCTAAAACAGTATATATTTTTTAAAAGAGAAATGAGTGTAAATTCTGAATCTGATGATAAGTGTTTGTTTGATTTTGTTATAGTTAGTGGAAAAGAAGAATTCAGCAGGTGTTAATTTCACAAAGACAACTTTTCACAAAAAAATTCTTCACTTACCATGGTTTTGCAGCCACAAGAATAGTAAATATCCAAATTTGAGAACAAAACTTCAAAGTTTGTTCAATTTTCTAACATATTCTAAAGTTATGATAACTTTCTGTGTTAGTTTATCACTCAGGGGCTCTTAGTTCCCACCGAGTGCTAAGCAAAATTTCAGAGAAAAAATGGCAGAAAAATGAGCCATAACACACACACCATTTACTATTCACTTTGTACAGTTATTTACAGACTGTAGCTGCTATGATTTCAATGTAGCTTAGCCATAGTATAGTACTATCTCTTTCGTTTAGAGCACTTTCCTTCTCTTAAACTATAAATACGGTACTATGGGACATTGTCTGTGTAACAAACTCATCAGAATCGCTAGATTCCGAACAGCTGATCGCTCAGCTTCACTGGTGAAAATTCACTGTCCGAATCACTTTCCGAAAAATCTAAATTTGTATTATCATTATCACAATTAAAAACATCTGACTGTAACAATTTCAGAGCTTCGGCCGCAGAAAGACGCATTTTACGACCTGTTCTTGTGGTTAGAACACTGGTAATCAGTGCACTAAAAAACGAACTTAGAAAATGAACTGTCAAAAAAATTTTGATGATTTTTTCCTCTCAAATCATCCACGTGTGGTTTAGTCCAAGAAATGAAACTAAAAGGATTTCGGCAGAGTGACTTTCCCTGAATAGGTTACTTGTACCTCCAAACATTAGAAACTAGTACGAACGCGTGTGCGAAGCAAAATGTAAGAGACACGCAAGTGACGATAACACCGTTGTTTGGGCAGAACGGAACTTCTCAAACTACGCTCACACCGTTGTTTGGGCCTTAAAGAGTTAAAGTAAGTGATTTCTCAAATTTTTGTCTAACGTTTAGCAGCCTTCAGGTTTAAAGTAAGTGATTTCACAAATTTTTGTCCAACATTTACAGCTGCAAAATGCTCAGATGGCCAGGATTCACCCAGAGGATGGAGAATGGTAAAGTTCTAAAGAACTTCTTCAGTGATCAGTTACAGATGGTAGATCTTTGAGAGCAAACCTAACACATTCCAGGAGATCAAAAAAATATGCTGGCATTGGATAGGACACACATTGATAAACTTGAAAACATTAGAAATAGAATATCCTTTCACTGAAACCAGCGGAGTCAAAAGACAAAATAAAGACAAAAAACACATGGCGAAGGGAATGAGAGAGTGGGTTGAGAAAAATCTAGAGAACAATGGGAGATAGCAACCTGATGAGGATTAGTAAGAAGATGATTAGGAGAAGGAGGAGACAAAGTAGAAGAAAAAGGATGAGAAGTTCTTGGGGTTGGTCTTAACTTCAAGTGGGACACCCATGACAGGCAGTGAAATTGATTTCTAGCATCAGGTTGCCAAGATCATGTTGCATGGAAGGAGACAATCAGGAAGGGAATAAACACATAGGGGAGACTAATTGTATCCAGCCCTTTTAATCCAGAAAAATGACCAGAGAACATTAGGCATACATAATTTGTCGGTACTGTGTGTACCATTGTGTACAACCAGAGAACATAAGGCATACATAATTTGTTGGTACTGTGTACCATTGTGTACAACCAGAGAACATTAGGCATACATAACTTGCTGGTACTGTGTACCATTGCCCACAACCAGAATGATAGCCCTGATTGTATGTAGGGTTATCCCCGTGTGAGTTCCATGGACCAGTTGTGCGGAAAACAAAAATATATCCACTGCCCTCCCCCTTTCCCAACCCCTCCCCCCCCCCTCCATATGTTTTAAAAGCTGACTAATTGGAGGTTTCCTTGGAAGTCAGAGTGCGTCTGCTTGAAAGGCAAGAAACCAATAGCCCGCATACAAATAAAGCAGATCTTTAAGAGTGATGTGTGTGCAACTCTTAGGCTCTGAAACAAGACTACAGTGTAGAGGTGGACGACAACCACAACATTCCGCTGGAGTTTGCAGCAGATGAATACGAAGAAGACGAACAAACAGCTGAATGTTTGAGGGGGGAAAAAATATCAACAAGCAGTGGCAACAATGGTCCTGAAATTCCATGCACTAATTGTAGAGGACTTTTCTCTGAGCTGGAAGTAGTCACACTCACCATTGTCATAGGCTGCGATTTCCATTCCTCTACACAGTAAAAATGTAACAATATTATTTTGACAAATTAAAAAATACCAGTCAGAAAAACCAGAGAGATGAATAGAGGCGGGTGATAACTGCATCAATAGACCTCAAGAGCTCGGAATGCTGAAGAAGAAGAAGAAGAAGTCAGACAAATGAGTGGCACAGCTGGTTCAAGTCTCTGAAATGGAAAGATATTCATTTAAATCTCTGTTAAGATAAAAGGTTTTATGTGTCGAGATTATGTCGGAAACTCAGACCGTTTAGTTCAGAGCTGATTATCTAATTACAATTCAGACATTTCTGTTAAGGTTGTATTTCCTATACAGTAACTCTGTAAGAGTACAACTGTGCAAGAAGCTGGGATGTGCAGTAGCTAGCATGTTAGCTTGCCACTCTAATGGTCAGGGTTTAAATCCCCCTTGAGATAAGGATTTTGACAAACTGGCCAGGGCTCTGAGGTTGACCCCATCTAAAACGAGAACCAGAAAGCAAAGTTGACCAGAGTTTTAGTCAGCTATCAAGTGCCTGAGAAAAGCTGCCAAACTTAACCAGCAAAGACCAAGTTACAAGGGATATTATCAGACAGACTGTAGAAACTTAACCATCAAAGACAAAGTTACAATTAATATTATCAGACGGAATGTAGGAACTTAACCATCAAAGAAAAGTTACAAATGATATTATCAGACAGACTGTAGGAAATTAACCATCAAAGACAAAGTTACAAATAATATTATGAGACAGACTAGGAACTTAACCATCAAAGACAAAGTTACAAATAATATTATGAGACAGACTAGGAACTTAACCATCAAAGACAAAGTTACAAATAATATTATGAGACAGACTAGGAACTTAACCATCAAAGACAAAGTAACAAATGATATTATCAGACAGACTGTAGGAACAACACCATGCAGCAAATTTATTGAGAAACAGAAGATTAAGGGGTTTGTTCATTTAGTAAGAATACAGCCATAAAAACTACCAAAGTAGACACTATTACATGAAGAGATTTGATGTGAAAGCATCAGTCTGCCCTAAGATGTAAATATGAAGATGGATTGATGACATTAAAGACCTTCTACATCAACACAGAATGACAATAGCCAATGCTGCCTATAAAGCAATGGATCACAAACTGTTTCTCCCCATAACGCTTAACAGCAGAAGTGGACATTTATGATAATGATGACCAAGGATAGCCATTCAGCAGAGATCTACAGAGAGACCAAGCCATATTGAGTCAAAAACCCCATGCAATAATAAACCTGTTTTTTCTGTTTTTCTTTTTCTTTTTTTTTTTTAGCGTTCACAAGCTGTAAACTGTGGGATAGTTCTGGTTGTTCATTCACTCCTAAACTTTGGTCTTGATCCAGAACTTGAGTTTTGCGGGCCCATCCATTTTACAGATCTGGCTTATTTGCATGCAGACTGTTTGTTCCCTGCCTCTAAGACAGATGCATTCTGACTTCAAAGGAAACATTTCTGACTGTTGATTTTAATCAAATTATTTTCAAATGTTAATCTATTTTGTTTTTTTAAAATCTTTCTTAGAACTACTTTGGTGATGCGTGGAATGTATTTGATTTCATCATTGTGCTCGGCAGTTTTATTGACATCATTTATGCAGAAGTCAGTGTAAGTAGGCCCTGTTGATACATCCTAATTTTTTTAATCTTGTCTGATTATATCACCTGCTGTCAGTCTCATATCTTTATGTTTAGCTTTTTTTGCTAAAGTGACATTACACATATTTTTCTGCCTCATAAACAAATAATGTGGTCTCGCTTTGACTTGAATGTGTGTTTTATGCTTTGATCCACAGAAGTTGTGTGATTTTCAGTATTTAACCAAGTCGCCTGTTTTCGGTGAATTAAACTGCTTGAACATTTTCAGCTGTAACTGTAATACCTTGATTGAGTATACATTCTATAAATATATATTTTTTTTTAATTCATCATTACATTTAAAGATTTATTAATTTCTTAGAAAAAGTTCAAAATGTGTTATATCAGTAAAGAGTAGTTTGTGTAACTTCAAATTCCCTTTGCTTTTTAAAAAAAAAATGTATTATTAAAAAGACATTTATAATACTATTCGACAATACAAGGACTAAGTGAACCGTCTGTTAGTATTTTTAAGAAATAATATTCTTAAGCCACCAAAGACAGTTTTACAGATACTTTAAAATATTGTTTATATATATATATATATATATATATATATATATATATATATATATATATATATATATATATATATATATATATATATTGATATCCTGAACATAAAATACAATGTACTTTCTTTTCGGGTAAATAGTAATATATTTAAAAGTTGTGAACTTAACCTAGTCTTACATGTTTCATTTTTCCATAAAAGTTTGCTATTGCTTCTGTCGTTCATTTTCCTGTGGTAATTTTTATTATACTGTTCACTTTTTGAGTGGCTAAAACTTGCAGGATATGACTTCAACTGGCCAGAAACTCTGTATTCAATAAATGCTTTAAATGACCTAATCTGTCACCCCTAATAATCTTAAAAAACATATTCGAACTATGAAGATTGCATGTTGTCAAGAGGGCTTTAGCTACAATTACCATGTATCTAAGGTAGTTAGAGAAACAGAAAACTGGTTCATAGTTATCTCTGCTGCTTATCATCTGAAGTCAATTTTTGAAAATTGATAGTTTGCCTTTGCTATTTTATTTTTTTATGTACATGTTCAGAGTATGTTATTTCTTGAAACAGTTACTCTGTGATAGTAGGAATTTAGTTACAAAGCTTTCTGACAAATATTTCTTCCTTTTAATTTAAGGGGTCACTACACCAAAAAATTTTATTTTTTTATTTACAGACCTAGAGCAGTTATTTTATGATGGTCATTTGTAGGGATACATTTTATTACATTTGTATACTTTAAGTGTTAAAAAACCATAGTTTGTCATGGCAATAGCCGCCATCTTGTGAAAAAAACAATATGTACTTAGAATCCTCAAATTTTAAAAACAAACATAGGTATTCAACAATAGATGATGGCCCCATGACCTTTTATTCTGCTTAGAGGTACAGGTCTAGTTTATTTACTTTAAACATGTTTTTAAATATTTTTTGTAGAATTTCAAAATGTAGGTTTATTGAAAAAGTCAAAAAAATCTAGCATCATAAGACAGTAATCAAATTTTAGAAAACAAAAGCTCTCTAAAATCTACTTTTAGATAGACCAGTCCCTATAATATTGTTTATGGAGTATGCATACAAGATTTCATGTTTCTACTCTTTATATTAGTATAGATTTTAGGATTTCACACACACAGCAAACTGAAATATAGAGATTTGAGAAAACTGACTTTTAAACTTTTTTTAATCTTAAAAAAGTGCACGAGGTTGTGTCGTTAGTATTAACTTTTCAATGCTAAACTGTTTACAAATGACATAAATTTTGTGTGTCATCTATTCTACGAATGCCGAACTTTACAAAAACGAACACATTGAAAAAGTGATATTTTTGTCATAAATTGGGAAAAATGCTGTGTAGTGACCACTTAACAGTATTTTAGATACACTTTCTCATCTAAACTGTTTTGAAAATTGTTCTGATTAGAAATATCTTTTAATTTTGTCATATTCATTTAACCACCATCTGCAACAGTTAACATGCTTGACAACTTCAGCCAAGCATTTTCATATTGTTGATAACAATGTACTAGCATTTCATATTCTTGATTACTTTTTGCCAGCATTTTCATCTGTTTTATTGATTATCATGTGTTTTATTTCTTCCTCAAACTGCTGCTGGGTTTTCTCTTTTAAAAACATTGCTAACTTAGGTTTTTGAGGTTTGTGAATAGTGCAAAGAAATATAGAAACTTCATTGTTTCATCAGGCTTGATTTGAACATTCGAGTTATTTGCATGCATCTATCCTACCATAGACCAGTCCCATCCTGGTATTTGTACAGCTAGTTTACCTAAAGTATAGAGCTTGCCAGTTATATGTGTATTCAGCATCACTATCAGGCAACAAAAATGTGTAAAAAATATAAATATTATGGCGAGTGATTGATAACATGTAAATATATTAACACAGTGTATTTTAAGTTGAGCAAGTATTTACACAGACTTATTAGTCATGTACACAAGTCACATTAAAAAAAACATTTATATTGCACAGTGTAAGCATCACTTAAACTGCAAAATTAGTAGAAACAAATAAATCTGATATACAATCACCATTGCACTGTGTAACGGTGGGGCTGGCACGTGTGTGTGTCGAGTGATTCTATGAGCATGATCTGGTGAGTCGAGTCAGGCTTGTTACACTGACAGTGGACTGAGTCATTGAAAAACTTTCCTGCATGTGCAGTTACCTTCATATTTGCCCCAGGGTATGCAGGTGTTGTCAGTGAAAGAGCTGATAGACTGGCAGGTTCTACATTAACTGCAGATGGCCGGCCCATGGATCATGTATACATTGTCAGTGCCCGTAGAGAGATAGGATGTTGCAAGGATTTTGGAAGCAACATGTCCACATCACTGCTAAGAACAAGTGAATTGGGAGTAAAGATTAGCACAGCCAGGCATGAGAGGCACACCAAGCTTTGTCAGCTAGCATAGGACGGGCATTATTTAACCATGCAACACTGATGAATATGTTAAACTGGAAATCTGAGCATCTATGGATGTGTCTGGAGTGCTGTGAAGATAATCCAGCTCATTAACTCATTGATGAGTAATGTGAAGATAATCCAGCTCATTAACTCATTGATGAGTAATGAGGGGATATTTCTTCATACAGCTCAATTATATTGTAGACTATTTGTATGTATCACTACAACATGTAATCAAATTATACTGCATGAATATGCTTCAGGGAATCATACATATTCTCAACTCACAATGGGTAAACGTTATTAGGAAGTTGCACTTCAGCTTCCTTACCTGGATCTGCATACACGGGCATGGTGGAGTAAACATAAACAAGCAGATGAAGCAAGTAATGTACTAAAGCAAGCAGGAAGAAGACTGGCTAATGCTATACAGAGAAGGCTTGTGGACAACAATGAATTTCTGTTGCTAACCTGATTATATTACCTGGATGTGACGCCTGACAAAGCATGTTCTGTGTTGCCCCTCGGGGTCAAGCTAGGAGACATAATAACCAACTTCTCATGGGAACTGTCAGTAGTGGAGATACCTAGAGATAGCTGCTGCATTTGTGTACCAAGCATGATTACATGATGAATTCCATAATCACTTACACATTACTTTTGGCCTAGAGAAAGTTATTATCAGACTTGAACTCAGCCTCATAAGATTTCAGCAGCTCTTAGTTATCAAAATCAGAGATAAAGCACAGATGTAGCAAAGCAAATTAAATTATTGGACAGATCTCACCAGTTATATAGAACAAACATTTAACAATTGACATCAAAAAAGAACTTACACCAGCATTGTGTTACAGGTGCCAAACATGGTCATTGACAACAAAAGGGAATGACAAATTGAAACAGCAGAAATGTAATGACTGTGATGAATCCTAAATGTAACTAGAAGAGATAATTAACTAGAAATGATGATATCAGGAAAGAAGCTGGAGCAAAACCATTGTAAAACTGCATCAAGAGACAACACATCAAATGCTTCTGTCATGTGTCAAAACTACTACCAGATAGTGCACCATGGAGAACTCTGACACTAGACATAATGGAATCAGCGGGAAACACTGTCACTGAGACATATTGGAATCAGTGGGGAACACTGTCACCAGACATAATGGAATCAGCGGGGAACACTGTCACTAGACATATTGGAATAAATGGGGAACACTGTCACTGAGACATAATGGAATCAGTGGGGAACACTGTCACTGAGACATATTGGAATCAGCGGGGAACACTGTCACTAGACATAATGGAATCAGCGGGGAACACTGTCACTAGACAAAATGGAATCATTGGGGAACTCTTTCACTGAGACATATTGGAATCAGCGGGGAACACTGTCACCAGACAAAATGGAATCAGCGAGGAACTCTTTCACTGAGACATATTGGAATCAGCGGGGAACACTGTCACCAGACATAATGGAATCAGCAGGGAACTCTTTCACTGAGACATATTGGAATCAATGGGGAACACTGTCACTGAGACATATTGGAATCCATGGGGAACACTGTCACTGAGACATATTGGAATCAATGGGGAACACTGTCACTGAGAAATATTGGAATCAGCTGGGAACACTGTCACTAGACATAATGGAATCAGCGGGGAACACTGTCACTGAGACATCTTGGAATCAGCGGGGAACACTGTCACTGAGACATCTTGGAATCAGTGGGGAACACTGTCACTGAGACATCTTGGAATCAATGGGGAACACTGTCACTGAGACATATTGGAATCAATGGGGAACTCTGTCACTGAGAAATATTGGAATCAGCTGGGAACACTGTCACTAGACATAATGGAATCAGTGGGGAACACTGTCACTAGACATAATGGAAACAGTAGGGAACACTGTCACTGAGACATAATGGAAACAGTAGGGAACTCTGTCACTGAGACATAATGGAATCAGTGGGGAACACTGTCACTGAGACATAATGGAATCAGTGGGGAACTTTGTCACTGAGAC